TACACAAGAGGACAGATAACAGAAGTCAAGATTTTTGATGATGAAGTCCAAAGAAGAGATTTCCCCACCCCTACCACCTTATCCTTGGAAGTATGAAAAAAATGTGCTTGGTGGGACTAGAAGGAGAAAGGGAGAGGGAGAGGGAGAGAGAGAAGGAGAAGGGCATGGGGAGGGGGAGGGAGGAGAAAGGGAGGGAGAAGGAGAAGGGGAAAGGGAGTGAAGAGGAAAAGGGAGAGGGAGAAAAAGACAGGGAAAGAGGAGGAAGAGAGGGGGAGGAAGAAGGAGGGAAGGGGAGGAGAGGGAGACACAGAATTGGAGTAAGAAACATGAACATGACACCTGGCAGCAGAGAAGAGAGCCAGCCATGGAATGATAAGAAGGCCCTGCAAATAAAAGTGATGAATCACCTTGGCCACACATATTCCCGGCATTCATAGCTCACTACCAGTAGAACATACCCACTCTTCCCAATGGTGTTGCATTCATGGATCAGTACACCTCAGCTTCATAGGTGCAATGCTATATAGCTGTTACTCACATTACACCATCCTAGTTTCAACTTTGCTCTGGGCTAATTGTGCCTCCTGCTTTTATTACTGTTATTGTTACTGTTACCATTATGATTTACACCACTGGGGACAAATGAGTCATAGTTTTGGAAGGGCAGATACATAGAATACCCTAGATTCTGGGTGAGATTCTGGAGACCCACGCTACAAACTTCAATAGGGAATCCAAGCTAGGGTGGCGGGCAGACTCAGAAAGGCTCTACATAAGCATCCATTTAAAGAAAACCGGCATCTAGTTCTTAGACTGCCAGGTCTATTTCTCTTTTTAAAAATCTGCTGAGGTCACAGGGAGGAAATGATACTGCCTTAAAAAAAAATTGCCTCTTATTCTTTGTGACCACAACAACCCAACAGGAGATGAAACTTTTAACTTGCAGGAAAAACACCAAGTTTTATACTCTAAAGGGTTGAAATGGTGAGATCATTACTCTACAGTACAAGAGACTTGTCACCAGCTTACGATATGAAGAAGCAAAACAAAGTTTTCTGAAGTCCCCAGGCTGCTGAAATGTGTGGGGAGGGGAAACAGACTTTCCCCCAATAAATGTGATGTGACCTGGAACTCGACATGGTCAATTTCAGTCAAGCTGAAACGCATCCATTGGATGCCCATTGACCAAGAAAACTGAGAGGACTTGTTGAGAATAAATTTTCAATTTCAGCAACTTTTTTTTTATAAAGAATGTTAAATCTAATTATGAGAAATATATTTGCTCTAAGGTTTGGGCTCTCTAGGGTCAACAACACAAAGAAACTTTCATCAACTTGGTGAAGCATCTCCCATCCCTCCGGCTCTACCTGGCTGCATCTTATTGGCCATGATGCTCCCCCTTTCCTTGCAGAAACATGGGCATCAATCATGACAGCTCCATGTGGAGACCATCCTGAACTTATTCCCACAGGGCAGTATTGAATCTCTCCACAGTCTCTACTTTGTCCTTAACACTTTCTCACATCCTTCAGATGGAAATTTCATGGCACCTAAGTCTCAGCTGTCCCTTGCCAGTTACACAGGAAGAGGAGCCTGGAGTAGGTGAGTGGTCGAGGGTAGAAACGAGAAAATCTCTGAGCCAGGGGATGCAGAGGAAGAACAGAAAACATTGAGGAAATGGCTTTGATTCAAAACGCGCTATTGTTTCACCTAATTTTTTTTTATGAATTTTTTTTTAAAAGCTGAGCCAACCAAAATTGCTAATACCAGCTTTACAGAGATGCTAAATACAAAGAGTTTCTTTAACAGCTATATGGCATATATAAAAATTTTTATTTTTAATGTCTTCCCACACAAGATTGAATTTGGAGATCTGCAAAGAAGATTTGGAGAAAACACCTTCCCACTAGTATTTGCAGAGGAATCTTGGCGCACCGGGGGAAAGGTAGAGACAAAATGGGGAAGGCCAAAGAAATCTGCTGGGCAGCACTCTCTCAACCTCTACCAAGACAGGATTCTCCATCATACCACCCAGCGCTAGCATAGAAAAAGTTGTTTGTTTCTAAGTAACTTCAGGACTTTACTTATAATGAACAATGTAAGACCTGGGAGGACAGGGGCTGCTTGCTTTCTGTCTCTGCATCCCCAACATCCAACAGAAGATGCTTAATAAAAGTTGGTCGGGGGGGCAGCTAGGTGGTGCAGTGGATAGAGCACCGGCCCTGAAGTCAGGAGGACCTGAGTTCAAATCCAGCCTCAGACCAAACACTTGACACTTATTAGCTGTGTGACCCTGGGTAAGTCATTTAACCCCAACTGCCTAAAAATAAAAAAATAATTAAAATAATAATAAAAAAAAAGTTGGTTGAATCAAAAAAGGTGGACCCCCACGGACTAAGTCCATGAAGTTAAAAAAAAAAAATACAAAGTAAATCTAAAACACTTAGATTTGTAGAATGGGGGGGGTGTCAAAGAATTAGAGCTGTCTCTAAGTACAATAAGCAGCAATGTTGGGAGGTCATGGAGGTCTACAACAAGTAAGGTTAAATGACCACTTGGGGACACTGTAGCTTATGTGCAGGGTTTGAACTAGACAGGCAGTGAGGGAGGTCCCTTCCAACTCTGCAGTTCTGGATATCCATGAAGAACAGGGCTTACCACCTAACCAAGGAAAGGTTGGGCCAAACTTGGCTCAATCACCATTTACAGAGGTTGCTTTGAAACAAAAACAACCTTCCTTAGAATCGGCTTCCTCAAAATTATGGTGATCATGGAATCAGGCTAGCACCCTAAGCCCTAAGAGGCAGAGATAATGCTGTAAAGATTAGAAAACAGAACCCAAATGCTCTGAAATCTACAATGATGTCATGGACTTAATGACTAGTTAGTTACTAAAGAAAATTAACTAAATGCATTGATCCATTATGACTTCCAAAAATAATAGTCTAAGATACTTAGACAATATTGAAATAGACACGACCCATTTCCCATGAATAGAACTGTTCTCGTTTGACTGAGGTTCAGCTCATCTTGCCATAATACAAGTTTGCTGAATTATACATGAACCACCAATCAGTTATCAAAAGGAGCACATCAGAACTACTTCCCTCCAGGCCTGGGGTATGAACATGTATCGAGATTATACCTGGAATGGATTTGGGGGAGTTTGGGGTTGAGTGAAGGTGGGGGTAGGGGAAGAGAAGGGAGTCTGAACTGGTAAAAGTAGAAGGAAAAAGAAGAGGGGGCAGAAAAGGGGGGCGACCATTCCAATGTCCTGAATTCATAAGATTGGCCACCATGCTCCCTTCCAACTCTCGATCTAAAGCCATGACACAGTCTCTCTTTTAACTCTTCCTTTCTCTGTTCCTACTGTTACCATCCTGGTCATATCACATGTAGAATATTGCTTTTGTCATACTGTAATTTCTTCCTGTAATCCGTGCCCATGGAGGGCTAACCCTTATTGACAAAAATCACATCCGTAATATTGAAATGACAATGAATAAACATCGGGGAGTGGAACAACCAATTCCTGATGGACTCAAGCCACCTATATGAGGAAAAGTCTATTACTTACTTGGAGATTTAAAAATAATAAAAAAAAAATTTAAAAAGGGAGGTGACACTGCATTGTCACGTACACCCAGTGGCTGACATTTCTGCCAAATGCCATCATCACCAAGCATTTCCTGGTTTTCCCTGTGCTGCTCTAGTAGAATGTGTCTGAAGGCTTCAGGAAGTCTACAGGCATTCACCCCCTTTTGGGCATTCCCCTATGTTCAGAGAGCCCAGCAACACATTCTTCCCTCATCCACCTCTCCGCCTCCCTTAAATTATTCCCTGTTTTAGGGTTAGAGATCATCGGGTTTGCGACCTTCAAACCCCCAGGGTTTGTCCCCAGCAGGGGACAGTGAACAGTTCACACTAAGTAGATCATGCAGACATGACATTGACACTGAGTGTGCCAACCTAGCAGGAGGCCAGCATACATGCTTCTCAAAAAAAGATTTTAATAAATTTATTTTTCTTTTTACATGTTAATTCTCCCCTGAGATTGGGAACTTGAGATGAGCTTTTCCTGTCAAGTTCTAGGTCAAGCATTTGGTTTTCCTCATAGTTACAGAGTTTCTTTACACCATTTATTATAATAGAGGGGGCTTGGACCAGTAGTTAGAGAAAAGGCTGGGCTTTGGGTCAAGAAGACTGGGTTTACCTCTGGGAGCCAAGATGGACAAAGAAGAAAGAACACTGGCCTCCAATCCTGCCTCTGATATTTACTAGCTATGTGGGACCCTCTGTGCCTTCGGAAGCCCCCTACCATCAGAGTATCATGGAGTAAGGGCCCTGGGGGCCTCACAGACCACTCTGTCCAACACCCTCATATTACTGAGGAGGAAACTGAGACTCCGGGAAGTTATATGACTTGCCCAACATTACAAACAGGTAGCATGTGTCAGACCACCCTGTAGTCTGGAAAGATTAATTTTTCTTTAAAGACAGAGACTAGATCTTAATCAAGCTGATTGGAACACTGACTTAGCCGGATAACCCTGGGCACGTCTGCAGCTGTCTGGACTTCTGCAGAAAAAGCCTACGTGTGTTACCAGATCACTATTTCCCAAATACTAACTTGAGGAACGGCCCCAGAATGCAAACCTTGACAAAACTAAGAGGGGCTCTCAATTTCTTGAAGCAAATAAACTACACCAATGAGACCCCACCTCCTCCAAACACTGGCTTCTCCTTCCCCAATCCTTTCCCACTTTCCTATACCAGCTCCCCACCCAACTCCCCTACCATGCAGAAAGCCTCAGGGATGGTTCATTGGCCTACAATCCAATCTGAGTCAGGAAACACCTGTAAGGGTCCCTCCTAGCTCTGAAAGTCTATGCCATTTTTTTTTTTTGACCTGGTTGAAAAGAAAAAAAGAAACCAGGAATCGAGAGTAGTCAAACTGGGACTGAAAAGCTCACATAACTTGATACCACAGGCCCTCGGGGTAACACGCAAGAAATGGGGGCAGTGACACCATCATGGGTTGGCTTTGCCTCTCAACAGAGTCTCATAATCCAGTCCAACTGAGGGAGGAGAAGGGCAGCTTCTTCTACTGCGACCCGAGTGGAAAGCCAAGCCAATTCCCACCCCACCCCCTCAACACAACCAGGGCCGCAGGATTCAGCTCACTTGGTCTATCTGATTTTCCTAGCAGATGACTGCTCTCACTCCAGAAGTTCATATTGGCTGATAAGAAATTTTCCATTTGGCCCAAGGACTCCCTGAGCTGGTAAGGTCCTCCCTCCCCCTGCCCTCTCCTCGCCCCGCCAGGGTTTTGTCTCAGAAGGAGACAAGAGTGGGGGCACTGGACCCATTGCTAAGTCTCAAGCCTGGTTTCCTTCTCGCTGTGCTGGTGGCTGAGGCGGCCTCGCAGGCCCTCCCCCCTACACTGAGCTGCTCTGTTCTGCTCTGGTTCTGGGAGGCCACGTCAGCAGGAAGCAGAGCTGGCTGCCAGGTCACATTCAGGACTGTCTGGAGAAGCCAGCAGGCAGCCTGGGCAAGGCGGGACAGAATGTGTTTCTTCGGTTTCTCCCCAAGTGAAGGAAGTTGAGAGACTGGGGAGAAACGAGAGAGAGAGAGAGTCTGGGCTCTGCTCTGAGCACACAGCACACACTTTGGGGCTCCACAGCAGAATTAAAATGTCCACATTCCCAGATGTTCCCCAAATACTTCCAGTTCCATAGCGGTTAGTTTCCCTCCAACCCTTTCCAAATTGACCCCACCTCCGCCCCTTTCTTTTCTTAGAAGACTCACTACAATGCATCCAAATTTCTATTTGGAAACGTTGCTGAGCCCAGTCAAACTTTATGGGGGTGCTCCCATCCCAGGATGCTTTGCACCCATACCATCCTCTCGCAGCAATCAGCCTCCTCTGGCTGGATGTCACCAGGATGTGAAGCTGTCCCCTGTTCTAGTCCAATGCATCCCTCACTGCCTAGATCACCTGGTGCACCGGACACAGCAAGGGAATGAACAGTCCAGCCAACATCATCTGACCGGCTCCAAACTCCAAAGATCGCAGACAATCTGCCAGTGGTCCTCCTGCCTTTGCCTGAAGATCTCCAGGGACGGGGAGCTCCCTACATTCCGAGAGAAGCTTCTCTTGCTTCAAGCCTTAATCTGTCTCTTTTCAATGTCTATTCAATGATCATAATCCTACCATTTTGGGCCAAGAAGAATAAGCCTAAGAATTCTCATGGTCTTTCCTCCAAGGGCAAAGAGCTACAGTTCCTTACTTGTCTGGTTCAACAGAATCCAGCTCATTTTTGTCTGTGATGACCCAAAATCTAAGACAGTGTCAAACTGCGTATACAGGAGGTACTTAATAAATGAGGGGATGTGACACTGGAATCCAAGGACTTGTATTCAAATCCTGTCTTTGACATTATCTGTATGACCTTGGATAAGTCACCACTTTTCGGTTCATAGGACAGATCTGAAACCACAGAGTCCACATCCCTCATTATACAGATGACAGGTAGGCCAAGGGATTTGCCCAGAATCACACAGCTACTAACTGTGTGAGACGGGATACAATCTAAGCTTTCCTTGACCATTCTACCCATGATGCCATCTTGATAAGGGATGAATTTCCTCATCTATTAAGCAAGGGGGTTGGACTAAATGGCTCCTGGACCTTTCCAGCTCTTGATCAGTGATTCTGCTATGATAATGAACTGAATCTCATCCTCTTACAGCATGACCTTGAAGCTGGTCGCCATCGTAGTTCACCACACCAGAAAACAAAGTCAAAGTAGATGCCTTACCAATGGCTTGCTCATAGCAACCCTCTAAAAAAATACTGAAAAGTTTATTAGGGAAATGATAAAGCACAGTCACCAGGAATTCTGACAAGGGGCATTGCTAACAGGTTTGACAAGGCTAACTCAGGATATACTAAAATACCCTGGAAAGTCCCCCAAAAATGCTAGTTTGTCTCCATATTGGCAAACACGTCACTAATGTGCTAGGGTTTACTTTTTCCTTATTGAATATAACTGTCCTCTAAAGTCTGGCTGTAGTCTGCACCAGAGATTTCTACCATTCTACCATTTTATTTTGGGTTTGTTTTTTTTAAAGACACCAGTAGGTTTCTTCTAATAGGATGGAATGTTCCAATCAATAATTCAGGTTTCACTGGCCATTATTTATACTTCAGACACATAACAATCCATGTAACTTTCAAAAAACCAAAACTGCTGGGAAAACTAAAATAATTCTGTAAGAGAAAGGGTCCACAAAAAAATCCTTTTTCCCTAAAAAAATTTTTTAAAAAAAGAATCCAATCATAGCAGCACTGTATCCATCTGGAATAAATCTGATTTAGTTATTAAGCACATGGAATGTATATAAGTAGAAGATGATCTTCATCCAAAGGTAATGTATCTCTTGGTTAACACTGGAGGCAAAAAAGAAGGGGAAAAAAATATGACAGACAGAAGAGGCGGGGGCAAGTGAAGAAAGCCCAGTATTTTCCATACAAAAGTTGGAAGCAAATGATAAGGCGGCCAAAGTGAGGTTCTATTTTTCCTATAGAATTCTGCAATCCCTGCCACGTAGATTTCCAAGGAGCCAACATCCCTGAGATTTACAGAAGGCTAAGGAGTAGAAACCACCAAGGGCTTAGAGCAAATAAAACTGATACAAGCGGTGGCTTTTTTGGCCAGAGAGGACACTTGAAAACAAAAGAGGATTTAGGATTTAATGTGGCAGAGTTGGGTCAGAAGTGAAGGGGTGGTTCCACATCTGTTGACTTTGGGATCAGGCCTCTGAGGTAGACTGAGGAGAAACAATGTCTGGGCAAATGATGAAATAAATAATAATCTTCTGAAACCCTAGAGGAAAGGTCAATGCACTAATAGCTATTAATCTCTAAGGATGACAGGAGCAGGCCAAAGAGGGAGAGATTTGGCCCTTAATCTTAAAGAACCAAGAAGTCAAGGTAGACCTTAAACAAGTGACGCAGATCCAGAACCATCCCAGGTCCCATTTAAATAGACAAATGGGGGGAAGACACAGTGCATAAGTCACTACAGCCACAGGGGCCAGAAAACGTTGGGGATGGGGACATCCCCACCAAGCCAGCTATCAGGAGAGGGCTCAGTTCTTCCACGGGGAAACATTTACTTTCTGCCTCTCCAAAGACAGCAATACAGCCATGAGATGGAACAAACATTGTGTAGGCATAACCCTCATTCAAGCCGTCCTCTGGGGGGGGGAGAGAGGATCAGGAGGTGCCCCCCAGTTCTTAAAGGCTGATATTCCCCAAGGACCTTGGCCATTTTCCCTATGTATGAAAGTCCAGCGGCCCCCATAAGGCCGCTAAATATGGGGGTTCTTAACCTGGAATCTTTGAATTTTTTATATTTAGAAAACACTTCAATGACTATATTTCAATATAAGTGGTTTCCTTCGTGACCCGCTGAGCTGGAAAACTTCTTCAGAGAAAGGGTCCATGGGCTTCGCCAGCCTGCCAAAGGGGCCCACCACACAGAAAAGGTGAAGAATCTCTGAAAACAATACAACTTCTTGGAGGTTTGGCACTGAAAGCCCATTAGTAGCTACTTCCAGTTTGTTATACAATCCTCCCCTCCTCACAATGTACATTCTGGTTAGCGTGGATACCTCCAATAGGGCACTCCCATCTCCTGATCCTCCATACTTGGAATGCCCTTCCTCCTCCCATAAGCCTCTAAGAAACCCCAGCCTCCTTGAACTCAGCTTAAGCTCACAGGCCCAGAAGTGACTTGAGAAGGTCCTCCCACCTAATTTCCCACATTTTACAGATGAGGAAAACGAGACTTAAGTAGCTTGTGTAAGGTCACACAGCGAGTGAGCTTCAGAGGTGGGCTTTGGACCAGGTCCTCTGACTCCTGGAATCAGTTCTCTTTCCCCTATACCAGACCTCTCCTGATGTCAACAGCAACTAGGGCCTTCACACACACATACACATACACACACACACACCCCTCACATTTACATGCTCCCACAGAATGCAGGCTCCCTGGGGACAAGAAGGGTTTTGTTTCTGTTTCTAGATCCTCCATCACTGTGCAGTGTCTGACCTTGGAAAAACCACTCTCTGGTCTTTCATTTCCTTTTGTGTCACATGTGAGGGCTGGTCTGGAGACCCTAAGCTTCTGTGAAAGTGAGGAAGCTGGATGGGACATCAAATAGAGAGCCAGGCTCGGGTGCCAAGGTCCTGATATAGCTGTGGGATGCTGGGAATCTACTTAACCTTGATCAGCCTCAGTGTGCTCATCTTGAAATAGGGATGATAACAGCACCACTCATCATGGAGGGTGGGTTTTTGGGTGTACGTGGGGGGGGGGGATCACCTCTTCAGTTGTGCACTGTGAATTTATGCCTGCCACCTAGTATGTCAGTGAGACAGCAAAGTGGCCAGCGCACTGGACTTTGAATCCTGCTGGATGACCTGGGACGAGTCCCTCACCTCTCTCAGCCCCGGCTTGCTCATCTGTGAAATGGGGATAACAACATCACCAACCTCAGAGAGCTGTCCTGAAGATGAAATGAGGTAATACATGAGAAGCTCTTAGTGAACTTTAAAGCCCTATATCAACGTTAACTAGAATTATGTTATTTGTTGAGTTGTTTTTCAGTTGTAACATGATCCTATTTAGGGTTTTCTTGACAAAGATACTAAAGCGATTTGCCATTTCTCCCTCCAGCTCATTTTACAGATGAGGAAACTGAGGCAGACAGAGTTAAGTGACTTGCCCAAGGTCACACAACTAGTAAGTGTCTGAGGCCAGATACGAACTTAGGAAGATGAGTCTTCCTGACCCTGGGCCCGGTGCTCTTTCCACAGTGCCACCTAGCCACCTTTAATTATGATATAATAGGTCCTTAAAAATGCTGAATGAATGAATGAATGAATGAAAAGTTAGCTGCAAGATGGTAACCTTTTTTGGCCATGGCTTCTCTCAAAGACCACCGCCTAAGTTATGGCAGGCTTACAATCTACACAGGGGTAGGACCTCATACCCACCAATCATAGCTCCTCAAACCACAAACCTGTGTACACATCCCTAGAAATAATCATGAAGTAGCCACACTGTTCAACAATCTGGACAGCAGGCCTCTCTGAATACTCTCCTCTCTCCCAATTTTTTAGGACTAAAGTCAGGAATAACACGCTACTGAAATGGCTGGAGGAAATACACGTAGATTAATTGTCAGTGTCCTGGATAGTAACTAAATAATCCTACTCTACAAAGATATCACTTTGCAGCAGAAAATGCTAAATAATTAAGATCTGGCTGGAGATGGGCCCACACTCCAATCCTTTTAAACGAGGGTCAGGCCTTCCCCACAAAGCAGGGGAACCGAAGCAGCCAATGACTCCAGAGGGACCAGAAGGTAAAACCATTCGGAAGCGAGCGGAAAGCTGACGTGAGCACTCTGATCAACACAACAGATGAGGCACGCTGCATCCTGACTGAGAGAGGCATGGTCTGCGGGTGAAGAATAAGACATGTTCTTTGGACATGGACAACAAGGAAAGTTGTCTTGTTTGATCTACAAACTTGTCCGTCATTGGTTAGGTACCTAAGTATTGTGCTAACCCTCGTCGTGAGGGTTTTCTCTTTTTTTTTTTCCTGCGATGGGGGGGAGGGTGTTTAAAAAGAGAGAAAATACATTTTTGTTTATTGAAAAAAAATGTTTTAAGTGATAAGCTGGAGTTGTGTAGGGTAGGGAAGGGGGAAATGCTACTCTGAGAAGAGGAAAAATGGAGGAAATTTAAATGTACTCCCAATTCTGAGCTGCCTGGGCGACAATGATGGAGTGTTTGAAGTCTCTGTAAATCTGCAGTGGTGCATTGTCATGGGCCACTGGAAGGGTAGAAGGTTAAAGGAGACGGTATCAAAGTAGCAATGCAGGTTTGAAATACATTTTAAACAGGTGAGATCGGTTCCGCTAGCTGGATCCTTCCTGTTGGGTCATTTCCACCCACACATAAATCCATCACCCAGAGTGGCATTTGATTTCCATGGTTAGTTGCTTGCCTTCTGCTGCCTGGACAGGGAGGGCCCAGCCTGGCGTAGAAGGCACCGGATACTCTGGCCTCTTTCTCAGGTGGAGGCTGGCGTAAGAGCCTCTTCAAGGAAATGGCCAGTCGGCGGCCCAGGACAGCCCGACAGGTGCTGCACAGGGAAGGGTGAGTGACCGGTTCACCGTGGGAGCCGACGGAACCCAGGCAAAACCTGACCTTCTTTCCAGGGTCTCCTGGGAAATCTCTGGGGGCAGCTGGCTTTTGTTAAATTATCTAAAACCTATTATTTTTTTTTTTTAAATGGCGGCCCAGTAAGGCAGAAAAAT